ATACATATATAGACACGTGAAATCAGATAAGCTACATGAAGTTAATCATTCATTTTCTTATAATCGAACGTTCTATAAAATAAGTGAAAAGTATTTATCAAATGTAATATGTTCAGGTCAATACAATTAAGTTGATCATGTCAAGTTGTATATTGTCTATATATATTTTTATATGGGAGAAAAGGGAATAGAACAGATTGTCAAAGAAAATAACTTATAAAAATACATATGTGTATATAAAACAAACAATATGCTGAATAAATCTGTAGTATAAATCTTGAAACAAGTGATTTGTTTACTTATCAACCTATTATTATTATTATTATTCATAATCAAACTATTCAATCTGTTCGTGTGGTTCAATAAATAGACCTTGAAAAAACTTTCATTGTCATATATAAGAAGTTGATTGGTATCTACTAATATTATTGTTATTATATTTACCATTGGGATTATCATGAAATAGATAATCAACTATTTCATCCGACCCATCTACCCAAGACTATTTCACTCATCAGTTTATAATTCTATTGAATAAATGCATTTATTATTATTGTTAATAGTTATTAATATGATTGTTGTTGTTTTTTTAAACTGAATATATGTCAATATAAAGTTGTTTGTTACTTTTTTATTCGAGAGACTAATGTTCATTCATTACGCAATAGTAGCGATTTTTTTAAAATGTCACCGAAAAAACAATAATTTATTCATTTATATTCTTTTTATTTATTTTAATAGTCATATTATTATTATTACGTATGCAGTTGTTTATTGAATAGATGTAAATATATGAACATAAACTGGAATAACCCTCTAACTCATGGATAATAGTAGAAATAATATATACTTGTAGCATATGTATTAGTATTAGTAGTATTGCCAATACCAATATTTTCATAGTTGAAAGCGTGAGGCAATTGAAGCTAGACCACCAGGGAAATCCTGGAAGCACTTAAACGGCCAACTCGTCCTATTATGGGACTCCTCAGCAGTGCGCATCCACTATCCCGCACTCGCGGGATTCGAACCCAGGGCCTACCAGTCTCGCGCCAGAGCACTTAACCGATAGACCCTCCAGTTCTTCCAGGTTTTCCATGGTGGTCTAGCTTCAATTGACTCACGCTTTCAACTATGAAAATATTAAATATCCACGAAAACCCCTTCTGATAATAATACCAATATTATTATCACTGGTTATTATTTATGATTGAAAATTATTTTAAAAGAAATAAAGGAAATTAAACGAAAAAAATGCAATTTATCGCAAAAATCAAAGAATTAGTGATTTTAATAAAAGGACTTATAAGGTATTCACTATCGGTCAACAGAGGTAAATAATTCCTATTATTAACTCCATGTAACTTATGATTTTACTATGAATTCCAGTCGTATGCTGTGTGTAAGGATAATAATTTGATGATGAAAGCATTCTATAGTTTTCATGCACAAATTTTACATTTCTAAACCCATTGTCCTGAAATCGAATTTTGTAGTCAAATGGTATCACTAGGCTTGATAATCAAAGTTAAATATATTAACCTGTGGTAAGTAGATGTGCTAATGAGATGTATTGTTAGTGTATCATTCAACATGATATAAAAATATCATCTCGTCGGTTTAAATCATCAGTCTGAGGTTTTACTTTCATGGTAGTAGGACAATAATTCCTCTGTTTCGTATTAACCATTTTGTACTTCTAATTTCTTATTCATTATTACAACCTGAATTCATAACTGCTTGGTTGAAATTCAAATATATTTACAATTAATTATTAAATGTATCAATTTAAAAAGAAAAAAACACTTGATACACTTTTTATAACTTCAATAAATCGACATAATCTCTGTGATAGACAGAAGTCTTTCCAGTCACAAATTAAATTTCTTGATATCTGATGTAACGTACACAGATATAAATAGTTTTAATTATACCCCAACTCTATACCCCACTCATTTTTGAATTGTTTAAATTACTTCAAATATTGTAACACTTTTCTCCCCTACACACACACATACACCGTAACATCACTCGTTTAAACAACTGGTAACGTGATACACCTCTAGACACATAAAAGAGAATATAATAGAATGATCATTATCGTGATGAAATTTGTAGTAATAAACTTTGATTGCATTAATCATAGTAACACAATGTGTTTATTAATTGTGTTACATTGTGTAAATTTCATCAAGGCAGATGGCTTCTTTGCTGTAATGTTTACAGTTCATGAACAATATAAAGTGTTTATTTCGCTTATTCTTTTTCATACAAATAGTCACATTTACCCCCTCTCTACTAACTAGAAATTTTCCTTTATTTTCCCCAATTCATTTGTTTTGAGTACATTTTCACATTTAGATTATTACTTCATTTATGTAATCAATAATACTTGTCGTGAATAGCACCTGCTATCTAGTTACAAAACAGTTTTTTATCGGTTTCTTTAAAGCTTTTTTTATGTTCCGTTTGATGAATCAGAATTCAAGTTACTAAAATGCGCAGGTGCTGATGGTGTTGATGTAATACAGTCGACTAGAAATTCTGTAGTTTAGAATTAGTATAGATGGTATTATTAGGTGACCTCTTGTTTACTAATTTAGTCGGTAATTTTTTTTTCTTGTATTACTCTTAGTTTTACAACAATGAAAATGAGATAATTAATCCATAAGAATGATTTCAGTATTATTGTAATTGATATTAACACATGCTGAACTATTCAATCACATTTATTTTATTTCTTTAAACACATAGACATTGGTACAAGGAGGCACCGATTATCTATGTGCCACACTTCATTATTCGATTTGTGTAAGGCCTGGAATACTGTTCAGGTGCTCAATATGAAGCAGGCTATTTATTTATAATTCCTACTAAATGATGTTCAGTTTGAACTTCTGTCATTTACTAAAAATGACTTTTAAAGATAATTTATTGCTGATAAGACTTGATTTTATTAATATCAAGTAATTTGAAGTTTGAAATGTTTATATATTTGATAAAAATTGTATAATAATGAGGGAGATAATAATAATATTTTAATAAATATGTCTCGATAAGTTCATCTTACTGTAAAGATGTGATGTGGTACATCGAATTGATGAAAATATATATCAAGATTTACTTTATCTAGTTACCTTATTAGCCTAGCATTAAAACTTTGATGAAATGAAATATCAAAATGATGGTCGAATGTATTTTCTCTATCAGGAAAATCTATATGACTTTGAACATAGTATTCATCATAAACTGTGATCAACTGTAAAGCTTTTTTTCTTCATCTTTAAGGTTCTATTCCGTTAATTATCCACGTAAAACATACAGAATTAGAATGACGATGTTTCAATGCTTCAGTAGACATGTAACTTTTAAAATACTAAATTATGATGCAGTTTTTTTTATTTTATTAGCTCATGATATATTGTATGATCGTAGACAATTGTTATCAGTAAGTTCTTACTTCATTATCAACTCTTAGATTTGTTATTTACTAATATTGGTAATATATACTCATTATATCACCGAATATCGTTTAATAAATAACGATCTAGAAGAACAGATATGTTTAGTACACATGAATAGATATTATCTAAATGTTGATTTTCGTTTACCTGAAATGATCAAAATTCTGATATCCCATAGGTACCTTGCTTTGATGCTTTGATGTTATTAGTGATCATGTCTTGAAATTTTATGTTTTAAAATAGGTAACAATAAAACTCAGGAGTATCTTATTCTTTTTGTAAAGTTGTAGAACTAAATAGGTTTATATCCTAATGAAAGTCACACGAAATACCCAATGTTTTGAGTACTGAGTCATTAAACTACTTGATCAGCGAGTCACCATGATCATCTATTTTATGGTAAATATTACTTGGTACTAGAACTCAAACACTGAATTCGAACTGCAATGGAAATAAAAGGCTGTATGCAAGAGTATCTTTTATGAGTTTTCATTTTATAAAAAATATCTTATCTACCAGTAGGAAGTGGATTGAATAGACGAAAAGAGCTCTGATGATTATATAAAAGGTAAAAGTATTCACTCATGTGCTATTTTTCCCTGATTAGATGAATTGAATTGATTGATCAATCACCATATTAACTAGCTTAACACTTTTCATTGATCGTATTTGATCTTTTACGAACGAAGGAAAATGGTAGTTGGGGTAGGGACTAGTGCGAATCTGAGTAAATTTTTTGCTCTTGTTTACACTGGTGAAGACATTACGTTTACAGGTTTAGAAATAACCATCTCGTCTATTGACTGGAATTCATATGATTCATTAAGTAAAACAGTAACACCTTCAAATGATGGTCCAGCAATCTGGAGATTAAGCGTTCGTGAGCGAGACTGGAGGTTGTGTTCGATTCCTCGTAGTAAGGTCGTAGATGTGCATTGCTGAGTCGTCCGACCAGGTGCCAGTGGTATTCTAGCTAAGATCACTTCATGATTTAAAAACTATGAAGAAATATCATAATATTAATATCATAATATTCACTTGAAACTGAGTCTGTCTAAGTTTATTATAAAGTATATTAGATAGTATTGTAAGCAAACAGTGTTCAGAAAACCTCTATTATTAGTTCAACCAGAACACGTGAATGTTATTGAATAGTGAGTGTTAAGACAGACTAAAATGGGACATAATTAATTACTTAGTTTATTTTAGAAGCAACTAATAATTAGTCGTATCATGTTACAATGATCAGCTTAAAGATTAATAAAAATTTAATATCACTTATAGAACAATTGCCATTCATTTACACAGTATAACGACATCATGATTTGACTAGAATTTAAGATGTGGATAATTGAATTTCATTCAGCTCATCAATTTAAAGTTGTCCTAGCCACTATATATATGAAGGACCTAAATTCGATCCTATTTAATGCTTCTTGATCAGTAATGATAACCTAACTGAACATCAATTCATAACATGAATCATTTTAATGATAACAGTAAGAATAATAAAAAGGAGTACAAAACTACACTTACTTTCTTCAAGTGACGATTGCAACGGTGTAAATTGAATTGTTTCATCAAAATGTGAATTATCCAATTGATTGAGATTTTCCAAATGAATTGATGATACCTTATAATTATTATTTATTATATTATAATTCAATTTATTAACATTATTAGTAGTAGTACTAGTATTATGACATTGTATTTCTGGTATAATATGCTTATTATTATTATTGTTATTTTGATAATATTGTTGATATAACAATAATTCAGTTAATTGATCTAACGATTGTATATTTGAGGTATCATTTAGATTCGATAATTTCATCTCATGATTCGAATTGACTAATGACGGAATTAACTGTTGACAATTATACGGACGCTGTAAAGAAGGTTGGTGAAATTCGTAGGATTGTTGACGCTGCTGATGATGATATTGTCCTAATTGTGAATCGGTTGAATTAGATTTTAGTGAAAAATTTGAATTCATAGAATTATTATTATTGTTATTATTATTATTATTGTTAGATAGTGCAATAAAATGTTGAGCTAATTTACCAGCTAATTGAATTGTTGATTGCAAATCTGTAATATTCATCTTCGTATTTTGTAGCTGGGTATTAATTTGTTCATTAATAATAGAAGTGTTTCGATGATATATATCATTAGGAAATGTAAAATTGTTCAATGATTGCTTCGGTGATGATTGTGTAATACCGAATTGTTCTTTCATAAAGTCCATAATTGGTGAAGGTGTTCTAAATGCACTTGTCCCGTGACTGGTAATACTGTTACTATTACTGTTAACATTATTCTCACTAGGCATAATATCATTTGTAGAGATAGAATTTAATCCATTGATTGAAGTGCAATTTGGAAAGTGTTTAAATAATTTGTAAAATGGATTATGATTATTATCAATATCATTATTATTGGTATTCATGTTGGCGTCCGCAAGATTTGCATTCATCATAAATTTGTTACTTTGGAAATCGGGATCTACATAAATACCAGATGAATTATCATGCAGCATATTCATTCTAGTATGAAGTAGTATTTTTGTATTCAAACGTCTTGGTGGCTGTGCAACCATTTTTATATGAAAAGTACGGTCATGAATATATAATAGTCATGAAAAAATATAGACAATAAAAATCATACATATCATTAATAATGTGACTATCATCACCATCACCCCTAGGATTCTGTCTAATCTTATTTGCTCAATTGGACCAATTTGTAACACTACTTATCTTCATTGGTCCCAGTGATCGCACAACTTTTTATCTCTCCCTCCTATTGTCCTCATTTGTTTATGTAAATACACAGACTGTTGCCCAAATTTCAACAAGCCGCAAGGAATCTATTCAACTTAGTCATTATAAGAACATGGAAACAGAGGGGCGATACAAACAAACACGATATTTTCAAGCAGGATTACTTCTAATAGGGTAGAAAAATATTTAATTTACTCCTGACAAAAGTAACCAATCAGATAGTAATGAATAAAATTGCTTGACTGTGATTGGTAGGATTTATAATTTATTGAAAATTGCGATCATTATAACTAGATGATAAATTGATATTTTAGTGAAAATAAGCTATATCGACTGCACAAACTATATAATTAATTAATAAGATTGGGATTGTCGACAATGAAAGCTTTAAGTGAGAATACCTTTCTTCAGAAGATTTGATTTTGTTTCAATAATAGAAATCATACAAAGTAAGTCAACATCATTTGGAAAATGGCTAGAATAATAACGGTAATATTTTCATATGACAGCAAGTGACGATTTGATTGGACTTATCAAGTAACTAAAATAGTTATTTTTTTGTCAAACTACATTGCATGTCTACTGGTGTTGAAGAACATGAATCGTCAAATTATTACTTACTGGTTCAACAAAAGTTTCGCACACTCTGGGATAAATGGAGATCTCCATTTTGATACTACATAAAGTCGAAGTGTGAATTGTTATAAAGTTCTAAGTAAGAGCCTGAAAGGAATCTATGTTCCTCGAGTTTTCATACAATGTTATTGATAAACATTATATTCAAATATACCAAATCTTTTAATGGGATTTAATTTGTTAGACTCTCTTAGTAATACATTATGCTCTCCATTCAATAATCTGATTATTATATTTCGTTCAGTAAACAATTTAAATATCTTACTATCTCATGAATTTAGTTTATGATCTCTGAAGTTCAAGCGGGATGTTGATAATATTTTCAGTTGACTAAAAATTAACTAGGTTTAGAAGACTGGTTGGTGAAAACATTAACAAAATATCTACAAAGCTCAAATTAACAAGTTATTTGTTTGGCCTTATCGTCAATAATGAAGTTTATTTGTGATTACAACCACCTCAGGGTTGATTAGTTTAGACATTTAACATAAAACTTAGGTTTTTGTTTTTATTCATAATAATTTTCAACAAGTTGTATAAGCAACCTATAACAAGAAGAGAAAATCTGTGGAAGATTGAATTTTCGACTAGTTAATCGAAGCAAACGTTTATATTACTACTGAACTATTCAAGTTTGTCATGACCAATGTATTAAAATCTGATTAACCGTGATTGAGTAGTCTGTATCTTGTAGGTTAAATCAATCAATTGAATGTATAATATAAAAAGAAATAAGTTTATGAGTTAAATGTTGTGATGTATTGTATGTTAAAGATGATTACCTACATACGTACTTACACCAGTTTCCTCTCGTGGAAGAGCACAAGATGAATACCAGCATTCTCCATCTAACTCTGTCCTGGACAACCCTTTCCAGTTGATTCCAGTTGTTATTCATCCTTTTCGTGTCTGATTTCAATTCTCGACTTAGTGTGTTCTTTGGTCTTCCTCTTTCCATTTTCCTTCAGGATTGCAAGTTATCGCTTACCTCGTGTTGCAATTTGATAACTCACATAATGTATATCCTATCCACTTCCAATGTGTTTTCCTGATTTCCTCTTCAGATGGAAGCTGGTTTGTTCTCTTCCACAGTAGGCTGTTGCTGATGGTATTCAACCAACGGACATCGAGTATATTGTGTAGGCAATTGTTTATAAATACTTGTACTTTTTGATGATGGTTGTGGCAGTTCTAAAAGTTTCTGCTGTACAGAGCTGAAACACTAAGATATTCATTGCCTGAATTTCATTTTCAATTACCATTAGATTGTTATGAATTTCTGATTGTAAGTGTCATAATCTTGCACACAGAACTAACAAAATATCCACCAATTCTGTTACTCAACTCTTTAACATTATTGATAGATCACACAGATTTTCAAATTCCTAAACCTTTAATCAAAACATCAGCTAGTCAAAATCTGAAGTACTTTGTGTTACTTGTGTTAATAATCGTATTCCATGTGATTACATAAAACAAAATGTAAGATTGTAAAGAAATACGTAGTAGTAAATTTTAACAGAGACAATAATGCAGAAATTTCTAAATATAAATCTAAGTAATATATTTTTAGTTGATTGGTTGTAATTTGTGAATGGTGAAATGTATAGTGAGCTGAAATTAGGGTAATATAAAAAGACTCCATAAAACAATACTGTTTTCATGAAAGTTTATTTCTAATTACACAAATACATATGAATAACTGTTATCCAAGTCACATTGAGATTTCTATTTTCTTACTACGTCCTAATAATAAGAGATCGGAATAAATGTTTGCTTTTCTCAGTGATAGCTATAATTTAATTGGATTGAAATTTGTCCTAACGAAGACTGACTGAATGGTAACTGCTAGGGATTATTAATGGACTATTATTATATATATATTTTCCTATTGGATAACTATTGGGTAACTAGATTATATATACACTCGCATTCCTTTTAACATAAGCTTTCGTTTTATCTGTTGGCTACTGTTAAATGATTTACTACTCCCAATTTACTAGTTACATTCTCCCACACTCACAGCCACCTTTGGCTTGATCTTGTACAATTATTATTTTTCATTTTATATTGTGATACAGTCCGATCTACTTGTATATAAACCACATATTTCTGAAATAAAGGAACCATAGAGAGGAAACTGATATTTGTGTTCTGAACAGAGTGGGCTGGGTTAGACGAGAAGTTACTATACAGAGGACCATCAAGGGCTCCTAGCTGACTCGATCCTGCTAGTGCTGGTTGATGTATAATTGATGTAGCACAGGAACAAGGTAATGAAAATCGACATTCTGATTGGACAATTTGTAACATGATAATTAACAGGGTCGTGAGTCATAACAGAGACTACTACTACTAATATTAATAATAATAATAACCATTTTCAGTTTCATGGTAAATGAGCGTTCAAATACTTTTCATTTTTTCATTTGTTCAATCAACTTCGGAATATAAAACATCAAACATAGTCTGGTCTTAAACATACCATTTTGTCTATCAGATTGTATTTCGTTATTTTCATTAAGTTTCCAATGGTTTGTCTATCTAGCTCTTACATAAGAACCTAGTGTGTACTGCACAAATTTGTGTTTGTCGTGAATTTGTTTTTCATCCCAAAGCTAAAATGAGCGAAATCTGTATTATTCGTAGACTTTCATGTGTTTGGTTCATAATTGGGATTTCTATCACAATTACGAAAACATAAGAAATATTTTTAGTTTAAATCACCAACTGATCTCGATTAGAAACCCACTGGAAACCTGGGAGAGCCGGAAAGCCGTTTCATCCTGGTCTTGCACTCCTCGGCAGTATGCATTCACGACTTCACCACTGGGAGTGGAACCCAGAACCTTCTGTCTCGTGCATGCAAGCATAAAATACTGAGTCGGTCATCAACAGTGTTCTTGTCTAAATTCGACCAATTCATGAAATTGCTCAACCTTGATCCACTTTCTGCACTGGATGACTGTGTTACACCTTACATTGGTTGAACTGCATTAGTCTGGGCTTCTCAATAGAACTCAAGAAATTGCGTTTTGAGGTTAATCATTAGTGAGTGCATGATTAAAATTGGTATAAGGGAGATTCCTGAAGATTGTAGAATCAGTTTGTCATTTAAAATTTTGACAAGTTCCCCTTTACTAATAATGAATATTTATCAGTCGTTAATGACTGAAATCAACTTATAATAAACACATCATATTACTTACGAGTAGTTTGGTAAATAAAATTTCCATCTTCTTTTAAGAAATTTAAAGCAATTAGTCCCTTTGATAAATTTCGATAATGTAATAAGAAGACGAAGATTATCAGAACTATGTGATATATTAGCGCAATACATTTCAAACAATCTGATCACATATATACTTGTTAAGAACATTTATATATAAAAATAAAAGGTCAACTAGACGGGTAATAAGGTTAAGAAATAGACAAGGATAATAACGATAAAATAATGTGAAAACAACTTGACACCTAATCACTCTGGATAATAAGCATTTATTACCAGGGTAGGTTTAAGGAGAGAACAAACTGTTTTTGAATACACAAAATATATCGCTAAACGTGAATGAATTGATTGTAAAGCTTTACTTTTCTACACACTTTCAACGTCATCAACACAAAACTGCTCTTGATGTCTATACTGAAATTTCCAGAACTTTAAAACGTTTTAGGAATTTAGAGGAAGTCGATAGGAAACCCTAAACTAAGGTTCCCAGTTAGTCGAAATTTGTCAAAGAGGTTTATACTAAATCTTGAGATAATTGAAGCTCCCTGGTGGTCATGAAGAGGAAAATGTTCTTCACACTCAGGAACGTGCTCTAATGCTATCCAAAGAAGCAAGAAATTCACTTGTAGGATGGGAATCTCACGCATCGAGGATAATCAAAGCATCATTCAAAACAAAGAAGGAGGGAATCACAATGAATGTTATCCAATGTTATGCACCCACCAATGATAGAAATGACGACGATAAAGATCAGTTTCATGAGAGGCTGCAGTCAATTATAGCTAAGTGCGTAAAAAAGAACATCATCATCCTGATGGGAGATCTAAATGCTAAAGTCGGAGTGGACAACACCGGATATGAAGATATAATGGGACGACATGGACTGGGAAGAAGGAATGAACATGAGGAGAGATTTGCAAATTTATATGCATTCAACAAATTGGTTACAGGAGGCACAATATTCCCACACAAACATATACATAAAGCTACATGGATCTCACCAGATCACATCACAGAGAATCAGATAGATCACATCTGTATCAACAAAAAATTCAAATGGACAATG